CATTTCCTTTATTGAGCTTTGAGTTTTCTTTGAAGTAGCAGGCTCCATTTACAGCTAAGGATGCCACGTGACATTTGGCCAATGAAATGAAGCAGAGATCTAATGGATAGGGATTCAGGTTATTTTTTCCTAATACCAAGAATATCTGAGATAGACCTTTTGCCCTCTTTTCTCCCCTTTCTTCCTGCATAGAATAGAGTCATGGTAAATGAGTAGGAGGACTCATCTTTGTGAGCTTGCAAACAAAAAGTCTCCTTCTAAGAAAAAGAGAGGAACCAGGTTCTTCAAAGTATCATGACGCCACTGAACCACCCCAACCTTTCAGCCTTCTTGCTACGTAAGAAAAAAAAAAAAAACCCTTACTTGTTGAACAAGTATAATCATTTACATTACGTGCAGCTAAATGCAATCTTAATTAATATAGAGAGACAATGGGAGACAGTGTCAGAAGAACAAGAGGGCTTCAAAGGCTTAAGTTCTGTATTTAACCTTTATATTCCTTTTTTAAAAAAAATTTTTAAAAAGTCACTATAACTCCTAATTTATATTCCTTCCAGAGTTATTTTGAGGCTGAAAGGATTATATCAATGCCTTCATAAGTGTGAAAATACTAAATAATTGCAAGATACTAATAAGTAGTAGTTAGCTCCTACAATAACATTTTGAACTATACACTTTTCATGATCGGCGTTGCTAAGCCTGTTTTCTCATCTATAAAAAAAAATATAACAGCAATGTCTTTCTTTGTCATGCAGAGGTATTGAAAGGTTCAAATAATAACATTAAGTATGTTGCAAATTGTTAAACACTATACAAATGTTAGTAATTATGGAGTTATTATGAAAGTGGTGTGATACACTGATTTGCACAGAATTCCTGGAGTTGATTTTGCCACTAATGTAGCTGGATGACCTTGAGGAATGTATTAAATTTATGAGTCTTATTTTGTCATCTGTAAATGTGAACACTAATTTAAGTAACAGCATCCTTCTCTCATGGGTTATACTAAATATAGGAGCACTGCTAAGCTGTACTCCAACATCCACCTTCCTCATTTTGCTTGAGTAACAAAATCCCTAAATTTTGGCTTAATGGCCACTGAAAATAAAGATCACATTTCTTAGCCTCCCTTGCCATGATTCAATCAATGGGATGTGAGCTGAAGTTATGCAAGCAACTTACAGGTCAAACCCTTAGTGAGAAATGACCTCCACATCTTCTTTTTTACCCTCCCACTGGTGGAATATGGATGAAGTGGTCAGCAATGTTCAGTCATGCAGAGGAAGCAACAAGAGTTAGCACAGCAAAGCAGCAAGAGACAGGCCTGTAAGCCTGCTAACAGGAGCTTCCATGGCAGCCCAGGACTGCTTACATACCGACTGGCAGAGAAAACAAACTATTTTGTTCAACCTCCTAATTTCTGGTGTACATTATATCAGCCTAATTAATGGCCTATCCTGTATCCTAACTAATTCAGCAAGGACTAAAGGAAATATGTGAGAGTAATTCATAAACCATGAAGCAATTATATAATTAATCTTAAGGCACATTATCACAGCAAAGACTTAAACTTTTTGTAGCTTATCAAACTGTCAACTTTAAAAAGTATCTGAATCATAAAAAGGAGGTAAAAAGCCAGACGGTACAAAGTAGATTAGACTTTTAAATGGATAGCCAGCACTTAACTATGTTTAGCTTATCTCAGAGCAGCTGGAATTTGGGATCCGTGGATTATTCAGCAAAGCAAATAAACAACTTTAGAGTAATCAAAAATCAACTCTGTCTGTTTCTCTCTAGACAGCCTTTTTGTGCATCACTGAGACACAATGGGGATGGCAGGGATAAATGACAGAGTGATAAGGGACTCTTGGTCTATTAGTTTCCTAGGGCTGCCATAACAAATTACCACAAACTCAGCGGCTTACAACAAAAGAAACTTATTTTCTCATATTTCTGAAGGCTAGAAATCTGAAATCAAGGTGTTGGCAAGGGCTGGCTGGTTCCTCCTGGAGACTCTGAGAGAGAAGCAGTCCTCTCTCTCCTAGCTTCTGGTGGCTGCTGGCAATCCTTGGCTTATCAAAGGCAACTAAAGGAAAAGTACACAAATGGGACTACATCAAACTGAAAAGCTTCTGCACAGCAAGGGACACTATCAACAAAGTGAAGAGACAACCCACAAAATGGAAGAGAGTGTGCGAACTACACATCAGACAAAGGGCTAATATCGAGAATATACAGTGAACTCAAACAACTCAACGACAAAAAAACAACCCAATTAAAAAATGGGCAAAGGACCTGAACAGACATTTCTCAAAAGAAGACATACAAATGGCCAACAGGTACATGAAAAAATGCTCAAAATCACTATCAGCGAAATGCAAATTAAAACCACAATGAAACATCATCTCACCCCCAGTTAGAATGGCTATTATCAACAAGACAAAAAATAAAAAATGCTGGCGAGATGTGGAAAAAAGGAACTGTCCAACATTGTTGGTGGGAATGTAAATTACCATTGTGGAAAAACAGTATGGAGGCTCCTCAGAGAATTAAAAATAGATCTACCTACGGCCCAGCTATCCCACTACTGTGTATGTACCCAAAGGAAATGAAATCAATATGTCAAAAAGACACCTGTGCTCCCATGTTCATTGTAACACTATTCACAATAGCCAAAAGATGGTATCAAACTAAATGCCCATCAGTAGATGAAAGGATAAAAAAAACCTGTTATATATATATTTATAGACACAATGGAATATATGAATATATTAGCTATAAAAAGAAATGATATTGTATCATTTGCAGCAGTATGGATGGAACTGGAAGCCATTATGTTAAGTGAAGTAAATGAGGCACAGAAAGACAAATATGGCATGATCTTACTCATGTGGAATGTGAAAATTTAAAAAAAACTCCAAAACAAAAACCGTGGTTCTCATAGAAGTAGAGAGTAGAATAAAGGTTACCAGAGGCCCGGAGACGATGAGGGTGGTGGGGAAGAGAGGTGGTGAAATAACAGGTACAAGACTATGCTATCTACCCAAAGTGAATCATCATGTGGTATATGCATATACTAAAACAACACATTCCACCCCACAAATACGTACAAGTAAATATTAAAATTAAAAAAAAAAAAATCTAAATAATTTTAGAAAGCTAAGAATAACAATGGTAAAGAGCTATAATACTAGATATCCAGATTTATTCAATATATTTATTTAAGAGAGGGTGATTTGGGCATAAGTTTAGAAAAGTAAATCATTGGAACAGAATAGAGTCTATAAATAAACCCACATGTATACAGTAACTTGCTTTAAGACCAACCCCCCCCCCCAAACATACAAACAAACAAACAACAAAAAACCCACCATGATTCAATTGGAAAATCTGTGTCCTTTCTGTTTCTTATAAGGACACTCTCACTGGTTTAAGGGCTTACTTTAATACCTTAACTTTCTGGGTTGTTATAGGTTGAACTGTGTCCCTATGTTGAAGTCCTTACCCCTTCAGAATCTGACCTTATTTTCAAATAGAGACAATACAGATGTAGTTAAGATAAGGTCATACTGGAGTAGTGTGAGCCCTTAATTCAATATGACTATTGTCTTTACAGGAAGAGGAGAAGAGACACAGAGTCACATACACAGGGAGAACCCCATGTGATGATGAAGGCAGAGATCAGAGTGATGTGTTTACAAGCCAAGGAACACCGTGGATTGCTGACAAACCACCAGAAGGTAAGGTTAAGGACTGTTCACTACAGGTTTGAGAGAGAGAGCAAGGCTCGGCCAACACCCTGATTTTGGATGTCCAGCCTCCAGAACTGAGAGAGTACATTTCTATTATTTAAGAAAAAGAATTTGTGGTTTTTTTGTTACAGCAGTCCTAGGAAACTAACACACGGTGTGACATGGATTTGGTGAGGATATTATTCAATCCACTACACCTGGTCATTAGGGTTATTTTTTCAACGCTGGTAGAGTGGATATTGTAACCACCAAGAAGCTTGTCATCTTAGGGAAGGGTGGAGCTAAAAGACCATAATCTCTTCCCTGTGTTGTTTATGGGAATTACCAATTAAAAGTATGACAATTCAATTCAAACTGTCAGAAATGTTGCTTACATCACTGTTTCCTTCCCCCTCCACCATGACAACTTGTGTCATTGTGAACTTATGGATCAGAGTCCATACCATCACTGCTATCTGGAAGATCACAGCTAACATCTCTGGCAAACTGCAGGTTAATGGCTGCGGTGATACTAAAATGTCATCCCTGTATCTATTGGCACTGGCAAGGCTAGGGGCAAGGCCATTCCTGAGCTGAATGGGAAGTTCCTTGGCATGGCCTTCCACACCTCCACTTCCAACACAAGCATCATGCACCTGACCTGCCATCTGTAGGAAGCTAACAAACATAACTGTATCAAGCAGGTAGGGAAACAAGGGTCTGAAGATGCTCTGAAGGACATCCAGATCTGTCCAAGAATAAGCCTGATTCTTCAGACTTTCACAGTGACACCAATTCCTCCATTTTTGATGATGAGGTGGTACTGCCCTTAACCACCGCAATATCAAGCTAATTTCCCCATATGACAACAGATATGGCTAGGGCAACTGTACAGTGGACTTCAGAATACACATAGAATCCAAGGTGTAAGAGACCCAGAACCCACTCCCAGCAATAACATGAGACAAACAGAAAGGACCTCAGCTGTTGGGCAATCTCTGCCTACTGATATCCCCCAACACAACTAAAAACTTCTCATTTTCTTTTAGTAGTGTCTATCTTCTAAAAGACAGTTTAGAAATCCCTGTTTTGCCATGTATCATCATTACCAAAAATAAAATCCTCACTGTATCTGGGGATGGGGTAAGATAGAGTAGGGGACTGACTTCAATAATTACTGAGTAACACATGAGAATCTGACATGATAGAAGTACTACACACAAATAGTTCAATAACATTAACTTTTGAAAGCTCTAGTACATTTCATACCTGTATATTCAGAAAATGGCTTATGTATTACTCCTAGCACAGGTTTACCGTTTACAGCCACACACACCATTGTAGTGACATACTTTCGAAGATCCTCTATGAGGGAAAAAAATAAAAGACAAAACAGAATTGTCACAGTATCAAAATTCAGGATACAATGTTACACTTTATTTCATTAAAAATTTATGTATAAGAAATGTCTTTCCTAGACAACAATCCCCTCAACCAACAGAATGCAGGGATGAAAGCCAGTTTAAGGGAGTAGTTAAGAGTTCTGGTTGTACAGGCCGATTATCTGGGTTATTCTCCCAGCCCACCATTTTATCAGCTGCATATCTTTGGGAAATTACTTAAATTCAGTTTCCTCACCTGTATAAGACATACAATAAGTACCCATCTTTAGGTATAAATTAAAATAACTTTTAATTTTAAGATTAAATTTAAAAATCAAGTTAGGCACTTAAAACAGTCACCGCACAAAGGATGTGCTCACTAAATGTTATCATCATTGTATGATCAAGCCAACATCAGACTAGGACAAACTTATTGTAAATAAACTCCTCAATATTCCATATTTCCAGTTATCTATTGAATGTCTTTTTATTGCTCAAGTTCAGTGCATAAGCACTAGAGTACAAAGGTGAAAAAGTAGAAGCCCCCACATTCAGGGAGCTTACTATCTAGCAGGACAAGCAGATAAACAATTAACTTAAAAATATATACCAAGAGAAGAGAAAAAAAGCAGGAATTAGATATCTCTGGGTAAGAAACAAGGCCTGAGAGAGGATCCACAGAATGAAATCTGAGCTAGGACCAGGTAAAAAGAGTGGAAAAGGTGTTGGGCCAGTAATTTTGTTTTGCTGCTTTACTTGCTTTCTGGGTACCTACGACTTACTATTTTGAATTGCAAGGACAGATGTATATGCAATAAAATCTAAATTCCCAATTTCCCAAGTAAATACTACATTCTCAGTAAATTAATTTCCTCGTTAATAGGTATGCAACAGAACCATTTTGTTGCTGTTAAAAATGTTCTTTCACTGAAGAATAAGTGAACCACTGATACTTAGTGAGCCATTATCACCTACAGAAGTATGCCCTAATACAGTAGTAGTCCGGGGCAAAAAACAAAAAAAAGACTGAGAATCACCGATCCAGCATTAATCCAGCTTTCTGTCTTAACATCTAACTGAAAAAGTTGTCTTGGATTTGCAAAACAACTACCACCCATATATATACTACCTGCTGTGGTTCTTTTCGGTTCTCTAATATAAAATGGCAATCAAAAGTTTAAAATCACTCTTAAAATTACCTGTATATTCCTGTGTAGCATCAAGTGGGTCAATCCAGACAGTAACACTTTCTGCTGGTACCTCTTTAGGGGTAGTTATTTCCTTCAGTATATCCTCAGGAATCTTATGATCCCATAAGATAACCTCCTGATCAGCTGCATCCACATGTTCTTCAGTATTTATCTGTACCAAAAATAGTTTACAGTTCAAAAATATAAAAATCACTACTTAATAAAACACCAAAGAGAAAAACATTTCAGACAAAAACCATATAAATTGTATATAAGTAAATCCTCATCTTTATTTCGTAGCATCTCAATGCAAAATAAAAATATATTGTAAAAAATTCCAGTAACATTTTGTCTTCAAATACTTTCCAATCTAATATTCAAGCTTCGTTTGTTGGCTAAGCAAGATAGAATTTGAATACAGAGAAATACAGAAAAACTAAGCATCAAAGAAACAAGCTACTTAAAAAGCTTAATGATGATATTTTAAAATATCTAAAGTGTGAAAATAGACAATATTCTGGAACACCGTTAAACACAAGCAACTATAGTTAGCAGTTAGAAGCAACTAAATTTAGAAGGAGAAAGATGACAACAAACTTAAGAAGTAATGTCTTAAAAATATGGAATTACAAATGTGAAGAGAGACATGTCCTAGAAAAGTGATCATCTAAAATATACCTTTGACCTTAGTAAGGAAAAGGAAATGATAAAACACATAATAAGTTAGTATATTATAAAACCTAAATAAAGCTGAAATGATCAATGAAAAGGGACATAAAAAGATCAGTCTTCTTTTCACTATACATTAAAGATGTGTCATAGGAGAAGAAGGTAAAGTCAAGTTTCCTACTTTTTTATTTACTGGGGAACAAAATTTAAAAATAAAATAAATCGGACTTATCACACGGCAGATATGTAAGGGTGTGGGATGAGTAGAGAGGAAATATATATACACATATATACAGTAGTTTATATAATAAATAATCCATTCACAAAATAATACACAACAGATTGCTTTAAACTGAAATTTCTCAATCTTGGCACTACTGACCCTTTGAACCAGATAATTCCTTGTTGTGGGGCTGTCCTGTGCTTTGCAGGATATTTAACAGCATATTTGTCTGTATGCCACCAGAGCCCACTAGAACTTGCTAGATGTCAGCAACACCATCTCTCAATTATGACAATCAAAAAATGGCTCCAGACTGCCAAATATGCCCCCATCCTATCCTGTGTGGAGAATCACTGCTGTAAAAAGTGAGCTTCTTAATGCATACTAAAATATAGTCTGATATGTAAAATAATGATTTAAAAATAATACTTTAGAACTGCATTTACTTTTGTAAATTAGGATATACCAATGAAGCAAATCTAAGAAATGACTGCACTTTAAGAATTAAGTTAATAACAAACTATCAACCTTATTCAAACATGCCTCATCAGAAGACTTCCTCTATCAGATCATAATATACACACACAAGAAAATGCACCGAATAGAAAGTTATTCAGCCATGGATGAGTGATTGTCTGGGTTGGGAGTGGAATGAGGATTAACTGTAAATAGGCACAACGACACAACCAGGGTGATGAAAATATTCTAAAACTGATTAATAACATGGGTTGTATAACTTGGCAAATCTACTAAAAATTATTGAATTGTACACTTGAAATGAGAAAAGTATATGATACATAAAATATGATGCAATATTTAGAAAAAAAAAAAGCAGACTGGGAAGCTAGGGAAGCCCTGACAGAAAAGGTGATACTTGAGTGAAGATCTAAAGGAAGTAAGCCTGGCAGGCATCTAGGGGAAGTGCATTCCAACCCAATGAATAACAATTGCAAAAACCCGAAGTTGTGAGTGTTCAGAGGGCAGCTTAGCTAAAGCAAAGTGAGCCAAGGAGAAGGGCACTGGAGATGAGGTCAGAGAGTAATGGAAGCCAGATGGTGAAGGACCTTGCAGGCCACAACACAGAGCCAGCTGCCCTTCATTATAACCTCTATTAACTATGTACAGAGGGTCCTAGTCACTGCAGTAAGTTAAAGGGGGAGGGTGGGAAGGAGAGAGGGAAGAAGACAGGGATATGTGCAGAGGTATAAGGATTAGAAAGGAAGAAACAAAACTATAATGTGCCATTGATAACTGAGCACTGAGCAAATCCAAAAGAGCTTACAGATAAACTATCAAATCAATAACAGAATATACTAAAGCTGAGATATGTAACATAAGTACTTACCAATCAACTACATTTTTATACACCATCAACAAATATTTAATTAAAAAAAAAAAAAGGAAATCATTTAAACTAACAACAGAAATAAAGTAAGTACCTGGAAATAAATCTATGCAAGATGTGGAACAACAGTATGGAGAAAATCAAACTTTACTGAAAGACATTAATGAAAACCTACATAAAGAGAATCCTATTTTAAAAGACTTAAAAAAAAAAAACAGTAAAAATGACAATCCGTAAACTATAGATTTTAATGCATTTAATGCAACTCCAATCAAAATCTCTATAGGTTCCCCCCCCGCCCCCCGTCTCTTTGAAAATTAGACAGCATTTCTAAAATTTACATGATACAACAAAAAGCCAGGAAGAGCCATGACGTATGGGGGAGACGGTAAAAAAAAAAAAAAAGAATACCATGTGTGGTATGGTGACTTTCCCTACCAAATAACTTATTTTAATGCTAGGATAATTAAGGCACTGTGGCATTGGTGAAGCATTTTGGCCTCAGAGACCACACTCTTAATGATAATGCTAGGCTACCTCAGATGAATGAAGGTAGCAGCAACACCCTACCAAAAGAAATAAACTTAAAAAAAAAAGTTACTCTCAGAAAAGACAAAGTAGTTAATGGGTCTTGACATCTGTAGGTTACAACGTCAGTGTAGTCTAACGGCAACTACTGAGCCTTATGATTAAGATTTTTACCTAGAGTTCAAGTCAGCTTCTCCATATACTCTCAACTGAGTATGATGTAACACATTTACAGCACTGTATTTGAAAAGGCCTTCATTAAGGTCCTTCCACATTCCTCATCTGATCAGTCAATAAGTCCTGGAAATTCCACTTCCCAATTCTAAATATGTGTCATCAAGTCTACTAAGAAAATCCTAGTTTAAGCCACTATCTATCTGTCACTTGGATTCCCTACAACAGCCTTAAATTGTTCTGACCTCATATAGTGCATTTCCCCTCTCCCTCCCTCATTCTTCTTTCATTCAACTAATGACTATATACTCTCAATTGTTTTGGGCACTGGGATATAACAAATGAACAAAACAGACAAAATCACTACCTTTACAGTTTCCCTTCTCAACCCAACAACGTGCTATCTTCCTAAATCAGATCATGTCACTCCTAGCTTAAAAACTTCCAATAGTTTCTCATTCTGCAGAGATAAAATCCAGACTCCACCATCATCTACAAGGGAAGTCCGAGATGATCTGACCCTAGCAACTGCTACCCAGTAACCTTTCTCTGTCTGCACCCTTAGTTACTGTGCGCCAGACTTCCTATGGGCCCTTGGCCTCAGGGCCTTTGTACTTACCGTACTCTTCTGCTCGTACACATTTTCCCCAGATCTCTGCATCATAGCCTGTTTGTTATCATTCAGGTCTCAGCTCAACTGACACTGCCTCAGAATGGCTCTCCCTGACTAACATGGATAAAGTAGGACCCCCAGACACTCTTTCCACATGATCTTATTTTTTCTTCTTCAAGGCCCTTATCAATATCTTATTTGTTTACATGTCTACTATTTGTCTTGACCAGTTAGAATGTAAAGTTCTGGGAGTGTGAGAACACAGTTTTCTTCACTACTATAGCCCCATCCCCACTGTCTAAACTAAAGTAGGAGCTCAATAAATAACTTTTGACTGACAATATTATTCTTAGCCACTCTAGTTCATTTCTTCCCCATAATCCTCTTCTCCTCAATCTACTTTCCCCCTCTCATTCTTACTGCCCATCTGTCACAGACCTCAACAGGGAAGGAGATGAAGCATAAGAAATCAACTCCAAGCTCACAGAAAGTCCATACCTACAGACAACAGCCCAAGACAATCCCTCCTTCCCATCTCCACCTAGCCCGGCCAACTGCTCCCAAAGAGGCTCATTATGGTGGGAATGAGAAATGTAGCTATTAAAGAGCCTATGATTTTAGCAGGAAAAGTACACTGACCTCAGGCTATGCCCACATATAAAGGCCATCTTGCAGCTTCCACCCAGAGGCGACAACTCCCTAAACATTCTCAAACCCCTTTGTTAGCCTGAAGTACACCAAGTAAGGATTTCTTTAGGTTAAGTTGCCCTCTATGTAGGCATTTCTAGTGATCACAATATCCAGTTCTCATTTTCTTCTGGGCATGAGGGAGACCATACTTCCTATTTTCCTTGCAGTCGGATGCATGTGGCAGAGGTTCTGGACAATGAAATATGGACAAAAAAGTAGATGCATGACATATAGACAGATGTAGATACACATCACTTCCAGGCTGAGCCAATGAAAAGAAAGCCCCTGCTCAATTTTCCAATCTCTTCTCTTTCTCTGCCATGTCAAATGTTGACCTGGCAGAATCACTTATCAACTAAAATCAACTAGACAACTGCCTCAGAGAGTATGAGGCTTCTGAGATGTGGAGGTTGCTATTAACTACAGCATTGCTTACTCAGTATTTCCTGATTAATGCATTTTCTCTTTTATATCAAAGGAAATACTCCTAAACAGTTTAAGAACCAAAAGAAATTCACACATGTGTAAATCAATTTAGTTTGATTCTCTTCCTCTAAGCTTCAACTTTGGATCAGAAACTCCGAGGGGGTAAAATTATAACATGGTGGGGCTAGAGGAAATACAAGAAATAATTTGGGGCATAAAACAGCAATAATGATAGGTGCAAATTTTAAGGGGAAGCACAACTTAAAGGGAGCAGTATTAGATATGAAAATAGGTACAGAATAGTAGAGGTGTTCTATAACTTTGAGAGCAGAAAATGTTTACTCTATATCCTAAGCAATACCTAGATTAGCACAGCCATGTCAGTGGCCATTAATCAAATACTTATTGAATACAGTGGTTAAGATAAGTTTGCCTATTTAAAGATTTTATTTAATTATATGCACATACATACAGACACATTAACACATATATACACACACTCAT